TCCCTGTAAAAAACTGTAGGTTGTGAAGACCTTTTGTGTGCTGCAATAGTAGCTTTTATGGTGAACTGAAGGTCAGAAAGTGACTTGTACTTGCTGTAACAGCTTTCCTGTTGATGCATAGGTCAAGAGATGACCTGTATGCACTGTGACAGCACCGGTGTTGATTCTGTAGGTCAAGGGATGACCTGTTAGTGCTGTAACAACATCTGTGTTTTATAGAAAAGAGTTGTGTTTCCAAAGAAAAAAGGGGTTTCCTCTCTCCCTCAGTGTTAGACCTTTTTTTTAAGGTTTTGTACCCACTTTAAGAGTGTTTTTGAATCTGTAATCATGAGTGGTGAAGATTCTGCTACATCCACTGTTTCCTCAATGCCGAATGGAATGAGTGGGGGTGTGGACCTATCTTTTCCCATGGCTGTTATTCTTGTCGATGGCTTAGATTATTTAGAGTGGTCAAGAGGGATCAATTTGTACATCACTGCAAGGGGAAAGAAGGAAAACAGTATGGTCATGTCTTGGCTTTTAGTGTCTATGCAACCTCAAATAAGAAGGAATTTTATGTGGGCTGAAACGACAAATGAGATCTGGGAACAAGCAAAATCAACCTATTCTGAACTGCGTCACTATGCAAAAATCTACCAGTTACAGGCAGAATCGTCCACGTGTAAATAGGGGGAGAGGTGTCTATCTGTGTACTACTTAGACTTGACCATATAAGAATTTTTATGGGCTAACATAGCTAAGGAGATTTGGGATAGTGTAGCATAAACTTATTCACAAGATGAGAATGTTGCTAGAGCCTTCCAGTTGAGAAACTAGGTGATTGCTACTAGGCAGGGAGATAAGTCTGTTGCTATTTATTTTTTAGCCCTCAAAACCTTGTAGTAGGAGATGGATCATTTGGAGATTGTGGTTTGGGAAAGTAGCAAAGATGCAACAACTTATAAGAAATTGGTAGAGAAGAATAAGGTTTTTGAGTTTCTAGCAGGACTTAACCCTGAGTATGACATTGCGTAGTAGCATATTCTTTCCCGAGATGGTGTAACTCTCTCTCGGGCATATGCTTTTGTGTTTGGAGAGGAGAGTAGGAGGAATATGATGATGAGGAACCCAGGCCTTGAGTAGTATCAACTATGGTTAATATAGTAAAGCCTAAGCTGAGTGGGGACAAGGGTGGAAATGAACCAAAGAAGAAGGACAAGAAGGATCTGATCTGTGACTACTTTAAGAAACCTAAACATACCAAAGATACCTACTGGGTGGCAAACAACAAAGAGGAGATAAATAATAAAATATTCAAAAAACATAAAAAATGTTATTAAGGTTTTGGTATTTCCAATTAGGATTAAGTGAAGTGATTATCTTAAAAGAAATAAATGATAGTATGTAGTAGGGGCTATACAACTATATGCATATAGACAAATCAATGTATGATATCATATATATAACATATATTTCTATATAATATGTACTATAGAGTCGGGTTCGGGTTGGGTTGGGTTGCCCGAGGGGTTAACCCTAACCCAACCTGAAGTAAAGTCGGGTTCATAAATTTCACCCCTAACCCTAACTTGAGCATCAAACCGACCCAACCCAACCCAACCTGACTTTTTCGGGTTGGGTTTAGGCCAACTCGGCCCAAGTTGCAGCCTTAATGCAAGAAATCAAAAGGGATATTGTTGTTATGATCCATTCTTTGGGAGCTGGTATGTTACTATGGGTGTCACCTTTTTTGAGTCCACACCTTTTTTCTCGGGGGCTTCCTCTCAGGGGAGAAAGGAATGCAAGAATTTTCATGGATAAGGAGAGAATTGAAGAAGGCATCATTGAAACTGTTGCAATTAGGGTGGCCCATTGGCTGCAACATTTGGATTCCTTTTCTTCTTTCTTAATGAATGATATCATTTCAAATTGGAAGGAAGCGGCAAATTCTGCCCCAGTGAAGAATATCCCTGTTCCTAATTGGTCTCCTCTAGTAAGAGGATTTGTTAAACTTAGCTTTGATGGTAGTAGCTTGGCTAACCTAGGATTGTTAGAAATTGGAGGAGTGTTTATGGATGAAGAGGGCAAAATATAGGCTTTTTGTTCTAGCCCAATTGGAGTAGGTGATTCCTTGAGAGCTGAAATTTTGGCACTAATTAAATGGGTAAAGAGGGCAAGGTCTTTAAACATTGGAAAATTAATTATTAGAAGGGATTCTAAATTGGTTGTGGGATGGCTGTTAAGTGAGGAGGCAAACCTGTGGACTTTTAACAATGAAAGGAAGAAATTCAAATGGTTAACACAAAAGTATGGAAGTGAGAGTTCAATGGGTCAAAAGAAGTGCAAATTCTTTTGCTGAAGCTCTTCCTAAGGGGTGGGAAGAGATCAGTTGTAAAAAGTTTTGTTGGGTTGGGGAGAGATGAGAGGGTTTATCTCTCTCTGCATTTGTTTCTTCATTATACTCTTGTAACCTGTTTCAATTTTTAATGAATTTTCAGTTATTGATAAGAAAAAGGTACTGGAAAAGGTCACATTGAGTTATCTCTTGGTCTCCAGTCCTAAGTGTACCATGATTTAGATCCTATTACTATTAAAATTACATATTATATATTATGTTTTAATTCTACTTATCTTAAACCTCTTGTTTCTAAGGTATATGTCCATAAACTTAATTTTGCATTTAATCCTTCATTGGTTTCATCAATAAAAACAATGCCATCAGAAAACAACATGCACCACGAGACCTCCTGAATATGTTTAGTCAATTCATCTATGACTAGTGCAAATAAATAAGGATTGGGTGCTGAACCTTGGTGAAGACCCATCAGAACTGTGAAATGTGATGTCCCTCTACTCTCCCACAGGTGTTCTAACATTTGTTGATCAAACTTTATCAGCTAGACTCTTCAAAATACCCTTATATTGAAGAAACAAGAAAAAGACAAAACTGGCCTCAAGTCTCTCTAACTGAAAGAAATTGATATTGGACTTTCTAGGTTCCTTTGAATGATTTCATTTCTCATCCTTTCTAGTTTTTCTACTTATCCATCTCAATATTTGCATTTCTGCCACATTATTATTTGGACATGTTGTTTCCTGACAGCCCAATGCCTTGCTTCATTCAACATTGTTGGCCTTACAACTGTTTTACAATACTTTCCTTTTGTTCTAAGTGGTTTTCACCTATCACTTCAGATGCACCCCTCCATTTTACCCATCCTACTCTATTTCTATAGGTGACATCCTCCTTAATCTTCCTTTCATGGATTATTGAACCAAGGTAATGGAAGAGTCAAGGTTGAGTTACCTCTTGGTCTCCAATCCTAAGCATGTCCTCACTAGCACTCCTCATGATCATAAGCCTTGTTCGAACTAGGTTGGCTACATGAATCTTGTTTCACCATTCTGTTCTATTTAATGCCATATCCATCGTTAAATTATGGGTGCTTATACCATTTCTTATTACTTCCAACATATTTTTTGGTGTGCCCCTATCTCTTCTAGCCCCTTCAACTCGTAACTGATCACTTTTTTCTAATAGGTGCTGTGGTCTTCTATGCATGACCAAACCATCATAATCTATTTTCTCACATTTTATCACCTATTGGAGTTACTCCTAGGTTCCTTCGTACAACTTCATTTTTAACCTTGTCCTTTCTATTTTTACCACTCATCCATCTAAGCATTCACATTTCTGCTACACTCATTTTTTGGACATGTTTCTTAACTGCTTAACACTTTGCTCCATACAACACTGCTGGCCTAACAACTGTTGTATAGAGTTTTCCTTTTAGCCAAATTGGTATTTGCCTATCATTATAAGACTTTGGGTGCACTCCTTGGTTTTGCTGATCTTGCTGCAATTCTATGGGTGGCATCCTCCTCAATCTTTCATTTGTTATAAATTATTGATCCAAGGTAACGGAAGATGTCATTTTATCTCTTGGTCTCCAATGTTAAGTGTATCCTGGTTCACACTCCTAATATCATTAAGTTTACATTACATGTATTCTATTTTAGTCCTACTTGTTTTATGGAAGATCTTGAATAAATTGACAATGGTTCCAAATGTGATTAAGTTCTTCCTCTACTAGGATATAGGGTTCACTTCTATTCACATTGTTTGTATGGATGCTAAAAATCACTTGTATGGATGATGATGTTTGCAGAGCATTTGCTTGGCCAGTGGTGCTCTTTAGTTCTTTGATGGATGTAGTGTTTCGTCATATTGGGTTAATTTGTATAGTAGAGAGAAGAGATAGAGCAAGAGACAGGGAGAAGAGAAAAGGATAGAAGAGAGAAATGTTTCTTGGGAATGAATGAGTTGGCTAATTATGCTCAACTCTGTTTATTAAATAGGTGGGTTATGAGTTTTGAGAGAAGACAATATTGCTCTTACAAGTTACAACTTATGCCTTACACTTCTAGTAGATACGAGTCCTTGTAATGGAGCCACCTTTCAATGAGCCCTGTATATGAGATCATGCATAACTAAAAATGGGTTCTTATTATCCAGTATTCTAATCCATTCACATTTCTTGGTCATCAAAAAAATTATGGAAAAGGATGGAGTGGAATAAAATCGATGGTTCACATTGTTGTTTTGGCTTTTAGCATGTTAAAAACTGCAAGTGGACCAAACAAATTGTGGCTCTCTGTATTTCCTTTTCTTATTTGTTATCAAGGGGCTGTTTGATGATGGATAAGGTGGATGAACTAAATGAGTTATTGCTTTTTGTGAACAAGTCATTAAGTAGGTTTTTAGCTCTATAATGACTGGATGGGACCTTGGATTAATCTCTATACCTCTAGATAATTTATTATGTGACTATTTTATCCACTTAAAGACAAAGCAATAAATCATTCAGTTTAGCCACTTAAACCATTATCAAGTAGCCCCTAAGTCCTTTTGTTCTATATCCTATATTTTTTCCAATATACTTTTATTGGGGAACTTATTGAGTATTTTCGTAAGTTTTCATTGTTGCATCTAATACCATTTCTTTCTTGGGCTTTGATAGATTATCTTGTATCTGTTGAAGATTCAAATTGCAGGTCATTGAACATCATAAAGAAATACAGCATTGTAAGGTCACAAGCATATCATGTGAACCGTTTTGCTGGAAGCTTAAGGCAACAATCAACATTTAGTTGGATACTTGACAAGCAGTTTTCTGTGAATGCTTCCTCTGAACATCCTTTAGAATCCAAGCCTGAAGCCAAGGGCACTTGGAAGTCCATACAAACATCCTTAGATGCTTTTTACAGGTTTTCTCGACCCCACACAGTTATTGGTACAGTTAAGTACAAATTAAATTACATGATATATTTATTGTATCTACTCTTCTACCACTCTCTAACTGTGGATTTTATATACAAGCTAGACTCATTGGAATTATCATAATATCATTAGTCTTTATTTCCATGGAAAAGAAAAACAGGCTTATAGAACTTGTTGATTAGCAGGTAATTGGCATTATCTCAGTTTCTCTACTAGCTATCCAGAGGTTGTCAGATTTTTCTCCATTGTTTTTCATGGGGTTATTGGAGGTATGCTTAAAATGTAATGATCAACTTAACTTATTTATTCACCAGAGATTTATTTTAATATCCTTTTTTGTGCTTTCTGTTTTTACAGGCAATCATTGCTGCAGTTTGTATGAATATTTATATTGTTGGTTTAAATCAATTGTTTGACATAGAGATAGACAAGGTAGCTAAAGTTGTTCCTTTGTTCTACTCATTTATTTATTCTTTCATTTACAAATCCTATTTGCTACGTTTTGACTAGGGCTGTCAATGGACTTCGAAAGTCCAATACCTGGTTCAATATCTGATCCAATTATCCTGGATTTTGGATGTTAAAACTTGCATTTGATTAATAAATGGATTGGAACCGATTAAAATCTGAGTCTGATTAAAAATTATTATTATATATATGTAGTATAATTATGTATATATAATTTTATGAAGTTCATAACTAATAAATTTAATATTTTATATTTATATGCATTTATTATATATGTATTAGTTAAAAGTAATTAGTTTTTTTGAACTCTTTTTAATTTTTTTGTCATTTTAAGCATAATAAGGTGAATGCAGATTGAATCTGAATCTGATCTGAGTTCAACATATTGGATTTTTCGGATCCATAAAATTGATAAGCAGATTGGATGTGGACGTAGCTGGATTCGATCTGATCTGGTCACAGCCCTAATTTTGAGCACACAGTGAATGAGACATGGAATTCTACTGTTAGGATGGTGAGCCAATAAATTGAGGGTAGGGTGCATTGTACACATGAATGACATTGATACATGGATTGGATCCACCATGTTGTGGTCCCTAAAACTAAAGCTTCCCAAAATCATGGTTGGTTTTTGTTAACTCACCCAACTCTCTATGTGGCTTGTCTTTGGGAAATTTTCTTTTGGAGCCGCCTAATGAATCCATTAGATTTTATCATACGTGTCTTTGTTTTATAGGTTATTCTTTTAGGCTAGCTATTTTCATGCATTCAATTCTCATAATTCCTACCTGTTTGTTTTATAATATTCACTGTTTACTTTGCTAATTTGGTATTAAATAAATAATTCATTCTTTCTTTCAGGTTAACAAGCCATATCTTCCGCTTGCATCTGGGGAATATTCTGTTGGAATGGGTGTTGGAATAGTTGCATCTTTTGCTCTTATGGTATTTTGGATTCAAAGTTGTTTTATTGAGAAATTTGAGCTGAAAATTAATGCCTGAAATACACAATTGGTGATATAGTCCTTTAACCTTGTATTACATGGTAGAGCATGCAGAGTATCCAAGAGTACAAAATAAGCACTGAATACTTTCCTAGAAAGCATTTGAATTTGAATGCACCTAACCACACAAAACCCCCAAAAGAAAATTGTAATAAAAGTTGTAGGCAGAAAAAGAAAAAACAAAAATTAAAAACCAAATGTGAATAAGTGAACTATTGAAGTGAACTTTCTCAGTGTTTTCTTACCATTTTCTATAAGCTTTCTTGATAAAAGTACATCAAACTACACTATTAGAAACCAATTCCTGTTGGCATGCAGCATACAGAAGATACAATAATTTATGGGTTAGTTATTTGGGTGTTTACACCAATTGGAAAGTTGAAAGAGTCTGAAGTTTCAATGGAACCAAGAAGCCAAGATACAATCTTCCATTGTTTCAAGCCCTTAGAATCATATTCATATGGATGCTCTGTTGTGCCATCAACATACCCCTGAAGACCATTCCTTTCAAAGAACTGGAAGTGTAACTTCCAGAATGCATAATTAGTTCCATCAAACTTCACAGGAAAAATTGTCTCTTTCTCCAAGGCCATTTCATCAGATAGGTTCAAGATAAGCCAAAGAAATATGAGGGAACAAGGCAGCCACTCTATCAAACAGGTATAAACAAGATCACTTAACACTGAAGGGATCAATACCCAAACACGAAAGCAGCTAGATCAAAGGTGATGACAGGTGACAGTCCATAAAAGTTAAGTTTACTGGATTGTCGAACAAAGAAGGGAGGAGAACACCCCTCAAATCCAATCCAAATCAGAATAAAAAAAGATATGAGTGATAAGATCTGACCTGGGTGACTTCAGATCTAAAGTTTCAAGCTGATTGATTCAGTCAATCAAGAGAACGAAGAGAAACCTTGGGACCGAATGCGATTTCCCAGAAAAAAGGTGAAAAGTTGTGCTGATCAAAGAAGCCTTCAGAAAGATCCAAATCTGATGTAGATAGGTTGGTTCAAAAGTCCTTCAATCTCCCTCAAACTCAAGAATTAGTTCTCAATCAAGAACAGATTGGAAAGGCCCGCTCTAATACCATGTCAACTGAGTTTGAACCAGAGAAAGACAAATTGTGAAAGGGTGTGTTCAGTAGCCCACACACCCAAAGAGAGATATCTTATATATGTTTTCTCTACAAGGCTGAGAAAGGACCATGATGTCCCTCTCTTACAAGAAAGAATAAAAAGAATTCAGTGTAAATATGTTACAGCATAAAAAGGTACTCCCAAAAGCCGAAAAGGGAAAGAATATATAAGACTGAAATCTTCAGTCTCTACATTTCTTAGAGAGTGGAGCAGTGTAAGCAGTAAGCGTAGTTTTCAAGGCTCCAAGGTAAGGGTAGGTGACAGGGGGGTGCCTTGCTTCCTAGGCAATGTTTTTAGGAACTAGGAATCATCTTTTACTAGTAATTTATGAAACAGAAAAAAAACTAAGAGAAGTCAGAGAAGAGAAGAGAGAAGAGAGAAGAGAGGAAGAGAAGAGAAGAGAGAAGAGAGGAAGAGAAGAGATTTGAGAGCCAAAAGGTTGTGCTGGCGGCACAAGCTTTTGTATTTATATTTGGGTGGCCATAAAATAAACAAAAAATACAATAGTACCCTTATGGTATTAAGTTGAACATAAAACAGTCTTTTAACACTCCCCCTCAAGTTGGGACATAGATGTCAATCATGCCCAACCTATCACATAAATCATTATGTCGCAAGTGATGTAAGCTCTTTGAATATGTCTGCAAATAGATCTTTGGAACTGACATAGGGTGTACATACTTCCCCATTGAAAACTTTGTCTTTGATAAAGTGCTTGTGTACCTCAATGTGCTCGGTTCTATCATGTAGAATTGGGTTGGTAGTAATGTTGATGGCAGCCTAGTTATCACAACATAGATTCATAGGTCCATCAACAGTAAATCCCAATTTACTCAACAAATTTTTTAACTACATAACCTCAGCCACTTCATGAGACATTGCCCTATATTCAGCTTCAGCACTAGACTTATAATCTCTTCCATGTGATTAGATTCCCTCCCAAAAAGGTACAATAGCCACTAGTAGATTTCCTGTCATCTAGTGATCTTGCCCAGTCTACATCCATATACACTTCAACCATCAAATGCCCATGCTTTTGAAACAACAAATCAGCACCTAGAAATTTCTTAACATATATGAGAATTCTTTTAGCTACACTTCAAGGTGGGTGGTCTTAGGGGCATGCATGAATTGACTAAGAACACTCGTAGCATAAGCAATGTTTGGCTGTGTCATAGACAGATATAATAGCCTTCCTACAAGCCTTTGAAACTGCTTCACATCCTTAACAAACTCACTTTGACAATCGCGTAATTTGTGATTTGGATCAATAAGGGAATTGGCTGGTTTCACTCCTAATTTTCCTGCATCTTGTAACAGATCTAGGATATATTTTCTTTGAAATGAAGATTCACTTTTGTGAGCGGGCATAGATCTTTCGCCTCAAACTGAGTAGCAAAGAACTCCTTCAGCTTTTGAATTTCATCTTTCCAGTCACTAGTGATAACTACATCCTCAACATATATTATTAGGGTTGCAATTTTACTTCCCCTCTTTTCACAAATAAGGTATGGTCATATTGACACTACTTATAGCTCCTCTACTGTACAACTACACGAACCCTACTAAAATAGGACATTGGTGATTGTTTTAGGCCATATAAGGACTTCTTCAACCTACACACTTTTTATTCATTGCCTTGAGCACGAAAACTAGGATGTTGTATCATGTACACTTTTTTTTCAAAATCATCATTTAAGAAGACATTCTTGATATCTAGTTGATGAAGATCACGGTCAAGATTAGCAACTAAAGAATAAAGGACTTTGATAGGGTTCATCTTAGCAACTGGTGCAAAAGTCTCTACATAATCTACTCCATACACTTGAGTAAACCCTTTTGCCACTAATCAAGCTTTATACCGTTCCACTGTGCTGTCTACTCTATGTTTTACTGTAAAAACACAGTTACATCCAACTAGTTCCTTCCCTTTAGGAAGATCCACCAATTCCCACATGCCATTTTTATGTAAAGCATTGAGGATATAGTTTACCACGAGTTGGAGACAAGTTTTCAACAAAATAGTGGCAACCAAACACATGCATGAGAATAGGAAATAAGGGAGCATCAGGAAACAAGAGCCGATGTGGGGCCTTGCACTCTAGTCATCGAGATGACATGCAGTTGATAAGATATGTAGCACATAAGACAACCTCTAGCCGTAAACGTTTTGGGACATTCATATAAATTACTAATCCCCGAGGCACTTCAAAAAAAGATGACAATTCTTTCTTTCAGCAACTAGGGTGTTCAGGCACATGAGCTACGATGAAGATATCTACATGAAGCAAAGAACTCTGTGAGGTCATTATGAAAATATTCTTTGGCATTACCGGATTGGAAGACTTGGATTTTAGTTTGAAATTGAGTGAAAATCCTGCTTTGGAAATCTTCTACAATTTTTGGCACTTCATCTATGATTCACATCCATATGTATTTGGTATAATCATCAATAAGTATAATGAAATACTTGTAGCTAGTCTCAGAGGGTGATGTAACAGGGCCCTAAACATCAAAATGAACAATACGAAAGGGAAATTCAGATTTATTATTCCTTGAAGAAAAATGAATTATACAATGTTTACTCAATTGATAAGTTTGACATATAAACTCTGATACTAACATCGACTTAAAAAACTTAGGAAACAAAATTTTTAATTACTCAAAAGATAAACGACCAAGACGATTGTGCCATAAATAGGCTTTTTTTTATCAACAAATAGGACTTTTATTGTTAACAGAGAAATATTGAATTAGAATAGATATAGGTTGCATCACTGCATTAACCCAATCTACAGACACATAAAAACAATTACAGTTTTGCCCAGTACAAGGTAGATCTATTTGCCCCCTGTTTCGCTAGGGTATCCGCCAACCCATTTGTTGTCCTTTTGACCCAACTTTTATTGCTGATGTGATGTGTTTAGCCCAAGAAATGACCAGTAGTGAGTCTCCTTCTATTTCCAAATCTGTTGTTCCAAACTTCCAATCTGCTCAGCTAGCTTTAAACCATAGTTGTCTAGGCGACAAGGCGCCCTTTGAGGCTTGCCTCAACTAACCGCCTAGCAGTTTTGTACTATGTATTGTAAAATACTTTTTTATTCTTTATTTTTTGACATTATAATTATAAAATAGGTACTATTAAACTAAAATACTCATTTTGTGTGTTTATACACTAATTTGTTTTTATTAATTTCTTATTTGTTAGGATTTAATCAATACAAACATTGCTAAATGATGTATTGAACCCTCAAAGACTTTAAAACCTGAACCAATAAGTAAGGAAGAACTTAAAATTGTCTAATCAACACATTTTCTACTACACTACTACTACTACTAATCAACAAATTTTGTCTAATCAACACATTTTTCTTTTTTTCTTTTTCTATAACAAAAATAAGAGTTCAGACCCTATATTTTTTGAATTTTCTTTTCCTTCTTTTTTTTTTCTTCTCATGAATATGTTGGTTTTCTATACTTTAACATGAACTCTATACTTTTATTATGAAATTATTTATAATTAATAAGGAAATATGGTTATGGTACCTAGGGAACTACCCTAGGATCTATAAGGTGCCCCCTAATGCCCAACCTCGCCTTGGCGCCTTGAAAACTATGCTTTAAACCTTGAAATAGAGCTAGGGATTCAGCATATATTGAGTCACCAATACCTATTGGTCCTGAGAAGAGTGCCGCAACTTCTCCTAGGTGATTTCTAATCACACCTCCTATGCTTGCCCTTCCCGGGTTACCAAAGGAACTCCCATCAAAGTTTAGTTTTAGTTTGTTCAGTGCATGTGGCT